TAATGTAAATGAGAATACATAAGTATAAATGAAACGACACGGTATCACCCTTCGTGCTTTTACTCTCTTCCTCACATGATAATGTAAATGAAATGACACGGTGCTTTTACTTCATCCTCACATGATAATATAAATAAAATGGAACAACATAACCCTTCGTGCTTTATACTTTTCCTCACATGATAATGTATATGCAATGGCATGACATCACCCTTCGTGCTTTACACTCTTCCTCACCAAGCATATCTATGTCAATGACAAGCTAGGTAGGAAGCATGAATAACATCAAAGAGAGTATTTAAGTGAATATTCCGAATGAACATCAATCACAGCTTTCAAGCCAATAACAATTCAATAAACCTCAAGTACTTTATTATTCAAGTATTTCGACAAGTCTCAAAATAATCTTTAACTCAAATATAGAATTAAATATCTCGAGAATAACAATCGTAGCGATGTATTAGTAGTTAAGCATAGTGATGACCGAATTAAATACATCAATGGTTTCACAAAATTCGTCAAATTTTAATCAAGTCATAATAAGCTAAATCTTGGATTCTAGCATTTAATTTCATATTCTTGGTAATCTAGAAGTCAAGTAAGACATGAAACAATAAGGTCACGAAATTCTACAAGGGATAATTAATCGTATAATTTACCCCCGAGCATGATTAATGCTGGCACATGTATATACGTTCGTCACCTCATATATGCATCACCCCCGCATGTAGCAAAAAATAGCAATTAGTAGGAAATATTTTCCAATAAAGTTAGGCAAGACACTTACCTCAAACAAGCCAAATAAATACACTAGAAGCGCCATCCCGTTCAAGTCATCCTCCGAACGGCTCGAAACTAGCCAAAATAACTCAAAACCATCAATTAATGCCATAGGGATCAAACCCAATCGATAAAGGTCAAATCTTGATGCATTTACTCGAAGTCAACCAAAGAGTTAAACTTGGTCCCACATATCAGGACCCGACAAAACTTACAAAATCCGATAACCCATTCAATTACGAGTCAAACCATACTAATTTCACCCANCCCTCCCCAAAAAAAAACAATTCTCTTTAAAATTTAGAATCCAATTACCAAAAACAAAGATATATTTACGAAATATAATAAAAAACCGAGTGTAGAACACTTACCCCAGTCCATATCGTGAAAATCGCTTAAAAGATCGTCTAAATCCGAGCTCCAAGCTCCAACTATGTTACAATGGCCGAAACTCCCAAAAATAGAGTAGTTATAATCACTGGATGAATTAATGAATCACGATCGCGAAAATACCTTCGCAATCGTCTAAACCCGTACACACCTGTGCGAACGCGATGCTCAATCTGAAGCAACCTATAAGAACACGGACTAGTATTCGCGAACGCGAATAAGAACTACTCAACTCCAATTTCCCCCTTACGCGATCGCATCCCTATCTTCGCGATTGCGAAGAACGTTTGGTGCACCAGACATCAGCAGAAACTAGCAATAACAACATGGACCAAAATGGTCTGAAACCCATCCGACATTACCCAGGCCCCTCAGGACCCCGTCCGACATTACCCAAGCCCCTCAGGACCCCGTCCGAACATACCAACAATTCTCATAACATGATACGAACCTATTAAAAGCCTCAAATCATGCATAACAACATCAAAACCATGAATCGCATCTCAAATCGAACTTAATGAACTTTTAGCTTCCAAGACTCGTGCCGAAACATATCAAATCAAGTCGGAATGAACTCAAATTTTGCACACAAGTCCCAAATGACATAAAGAATCTATTCCAATTCGCTGAACCACAAAAACCAATATCATCAAACTCAACTCCCTTTCAAACTTATGAATATTCTAAACCTTTAAATTTTCAACTTTGTCAATTAGTGTCGAACCCTTCTAGAAATATCCAATTGCATATCCGGGCATACGCCTAAGTCCAAAATCACCGCCCGAACCTAACAGAACTATCAAAACTTTGATCCAAGATTAAATACACAATAGTCAAACTTGGTCAACTCTTCAAACTCAAAGCTTCTAACATGAGAATCCCTCTTCCGAATCGATCCTGAATTATTTGAACACCAAAACCAACAATTCAAACAAGTCATAATACTTCATATGGAGCTACTCAAGACTTCAAACAGCTAAACGGAATGCAAATGCTCAAAATGACCGGTCGAGTCGTTACAAATTAAGTAGCTCTAACAAAAACAAATACGAATTTAGGTGTTTAATCTACGATTTTTAGCTTTGTTACACCTTTTTTATATAGTAAAAATTAAAAATAATTTAAAAAGTCAATTATTACTATGAATATTATTTTTATTTTTATCTTTATTTTAAAATAAAAAATAAAACAAAAAATTAAAAATTATTTTTAAATTTTGGATGGGAATAAAAAAAGAGGAAAAGGAAAAGTAAGGAATTAAAAAATAAAAGTAAAGAAAGGTGGAAATTTTTTTAAAAAAAAGTAAAAGAAAGTGGGAAAAAAATATAAGTAAAGGAATGTGGGAAATAAAAAAAAAAAGTAAAAGAAAGACGAAAATAAAAAAGAAAAGTAAACGTAAGTGGGAAATTAAAAAAATGTAAAGAAAGTAGAAATAAAAGAAAAGTAAAGAAAGTGGAAAATAAAAAAAATAAAAGTAAAAAAAGATGGGGAATATTTATTTTTAAAAAGAAGGTAAAAATAGGAAGTGAGAATTATTTTTTTAAAAATAAAAAATAAAAAAGAAATCTGAAAAATTT